CCCGAGGATCTGGAAGGTTGCGAGCATTTCAGCTGACTTGGTTTGGCAGAGCATGTGATTTCGTGTGCGCTCATGCTTGTCCGTTCGTACGGAATAGCGGTCAAGGATCTAGCTGGTCTTTTTTGCAGCATACTCGCTGCAATCCAAGGCTGGGGCCGACAACTTGGTGGATGCTTTGGATCAAGTCATGAGCGAGCGCTGCCGCCTGTCCACAATTCCAGACTGAAAGTTTGAAAAGCCCAGGGATGGACGTGTGGAGGGAGTTTGTTTGCTTGCTTGCTTGCTTGTTCGTTTGTTTGTTTGTTTGTTTGTTTGTTTGCTTGTTTGTTTGTTTTTGTTGGTTTGATTTTGCTTGTTTGTTTGTTTGTTTGTTTGTTTGTTTGTTTGTTTGATTTTGCTTGTTTGTTTGCTTGCTTGCTTGTTTGTTTGATTTTATTTGTTTGTTTGGTTTGTGTGTTTGGTTGTGTGTTTGTTTGTTTGTGTTTGTTTGTTTGTTTGTTTGTTTGTTTGTTTGTTGCTTTGGTTTGGTTTGGTTTGGTTTGGTTTGGCTTGGCTTGGCTTGGTTTGGTTGTTTGTTTGTTTGTTTGTGTGTGTTTGTTCATACATATATATATATATAGTCCATTTTTTGTCTCGACATGTGTCCAGTCAGTCACGCCAATACTTGGTACAACACAGTCCCTCTTTCTTACGTAAGTTGTACTCAAAGTTCCCACAGATGGCTCATTGCCTTGATATGTTTCTAAATGCTGAGCGTCCTCTTGCAGCATGACATTGGACAAGTGCGGTTCTCTGGTACCGGAACAGCAGAACACCGCTATGCAAGGCAAGCAATGGCTGAAGCGCTTTTGCAGATGTGTTTTTCATAGTCAGCTTGCAGGGTTCTGCCTCAAGATGTATTTGCAGCCAAACCAAGATACCTTCGGCACGACTTCTCATTTGTCCAATCCTTGGAGCTGCTGGTTGGAGAGGTTGCGTTGAGGGCATCTCCCCCCTCCCCCCAACCCAAGCCAAGGAGCAGCGCGGCTCGTCCATTGCCACACCGCGGAAAGAAGCCGTGGGGGGAAAAGGTGACGTCAGCGCGATTTGAGTTGCTAATGTTGGTGTCAGTTGAAGCCATCAACTTGCAAGAGGGCCCGGGCAAACATGAGGTGCGGTAAAGACATCCAGTAGTCTACGCGCAATAAGGAGGGGGACTCGCCAAGATTTCCACACAGCCAGCAAGACTCACACAATTTCTCACCTGAATCGCGGCTTACGCGACATATGGCTGTGGGTCAGAAAAAGAAGGCACCCAAAATGGAACCCTGGTACATGGACTACAACCTGCGGTCCCGTGGTTTAACTTTGACCCATACCCACATGAACCACGGCTTCGGCGACATGTTCCGACCTTAGGCGAGGCCTCCAGGCTCTTGCGCCTTAGCTCCCAGCGCCTCTGCAGTCGCTTGGAAGGCGACCCGGCCGCTCGAGGGCCGGCTGCGTACGATCTCTGAAGCTTGCCATCCTTAATGCTACTCGCAGTCAAGTGCTTAAAGCCAATTTTGCTTGGTGTGGCCTTTGACCCTTGTGCCCACCAAAAGCTGCGAAGGATCAGGCGGTGCTCCAATAATTCCCAGGAGTCGTACGTAAGGAAGTCTGAATGTTCAATCCGTTGTTTGTAAATGCCCACCGCGCCAATAAAAAAGCCAGGTACCCTCCCACCAATGAACATGGAACCTGACGTTCGGGGGTCCCTATAAACGAAAAATGGTGCGAGGGTACTTGATCATGTCCCCTACAAGTCAGTAGGATGAGCCAGAGGCCTTGGCTTGGCGCTGGAGCGGCGCATTGGCCGCCTGTCCGCGCGGAAAGGCCCAAATCCCCTGGCGAGGCGCGCCTGGCAAAGCTGGGTGCTGCGACTCAGGCGGGGGAGCGATGGAACCAACCCAGGAGTGATGTGGATCTGGAGATGCGGAGATGTGGAGATGGTTTTGTGGTCATGTGCTTTTATCATCCGCTTTCTGTTAAGATCTCAGCTCGGATTTCTTGTGATTCTGTGGAACATGGAGAGTGTGATCGTGCCTTTGCTGTGACTTTCTTCTTCATTGAATTTAAGATTCAGACCGAGCTGAACTAAATCCCGGCTTTGTGCTACTCCCATCTCCGCCTGATCCCCTTGACTGATAGGGAATATTCAGCAAAGCGCGTGCAATTGGGAGACCCAAACGGCCAAACTGCTGGTTGCCCCACATTTGACAAATTGATGATCAACCACAGACCGCCTCTACCCAAGTCTGGAGTCGCAAGAGACGCAGCCGCTTTCTGGTTTTGTGTATGCAACGGGTCAACAGGCGTCTGTGTGCTTTTCAAACAGATGCCTGGCTTTGGTTGGTTCAATCTCCGAAAGGTGTGCTTTGTGTGTGTTACGGACGACAGACAATCCAATGTACCCTCCCACCAATTAACATGGAACCTGACAAGGGGGGGGGGGGTCCTGGAATTTCCCCATCTTCCCTTGCAAAGGGAACAACCATAGGTGTCCTTTTTGGTTGTTTTGGTCGAAAAGTCGAGCCTGGTTTACCTGGCGGTTTAATCATCTACCAGGGAAACCCCTCTATTTCCCCTAGAAGGACACCTATGAACCGGCGAGGCGCGGCTCGTCGGATTCCATGTTCGTTGGGGCCGCGAGGCGGGCCCAGCAGGGGCGCCAGGTGGCGCGGGCGCTGCGCTTCGCGCGGCCGGCGCTGCTGGGCTTCAGGGCCTGGGCGCGGCTGTCCAGGCGCTTTCGGCTTTCGGAGGGCGGCCGAAAAGGCAGAAGCGGAGAAGACGAAAGCGGGAGGTGCCGCTTTCCAGGTTGCTCGGATCTGTGGACATCTGAGTTTTTAAGGGTTGGAGGCCGAAGATGAGGTTCGTTTGCCAAAGGTGGGTTTGAGTTTCGCTAAATCAGCCCAGAATTATGACCATTCGGCTGCTCCGGACGAAACACCCAACACCAGGCCATAGCACAGAAAGTTTGTGCCGGTCCTTTTCCCACCCCCCATAGCACATTGTATGAACGGACAGGCAGAGTTTCATGCGGGCCTTAGCATTTGCCCAAAAGGGGTGTCAGTTGCGAAACACTGTCAGGGTCACAAGTGCTGTGCAGTTGTGCATTGGGTTCAGCCCTGTAGGGTAGCAATGGGCAAAGAAAGTGTCACACCAGGTGCAGTGATGAGACCAGGGGTCTTCATTCGTGCTGCTTTCTGCGGAAAGGCAGACTGTCATTTGAGGTAGAACAACCGCTTTGATAGGAATGCCCGAGCACACCTTTGGCCAAGTCCCCACACAGGAGTAGCTCAAGGCTCACTCTCTGAAGCCATGTGTCTCAACTTGAGCCGAACAAGCACAAAGCCTGGCACCTCTTTGAGGCGTACAACTCATCACACTCCATGGAAAAGCATGTGACTTGCAGGCAAGAGAAGATGGCATCGGCGAGCAGAGAGGCCTGCGGTTGTTTCGCCCATCTTTTGGACATTGCGCGACGGTGACTTTTGGCGCGTAGCTGGTGTAGCTTTTGCGAATGCCAAAGCAGGGGGAAGGCACTTGCAAACTGAGAGGCGCATTCTGCATGCTGAGATGCGCAGGCCGACCCATCGAGCCTGCTGCTAGAAGGCTCGGATTTGAGAATTTGCGGGCCAGGGGAGGTGGTGTGGCGGGGGGGGGGGACATTGGACATTTTGGGAGAAGAAGGATGTCCGTTTGCAGAGCTGATTTCATGTCCCGAGACTCTGGCCATTTCGGGGCATGGAGGGTTGGAGAAGCTGCACCAGCCGGAGCTGCTGCGCCTCTGCATGCGGCTCAGCCGCGCACTCTTCGAGGAGCTGCAGGCTTGGACGGAGTGGCTTGATGGTGCGACAGGCAGGGAATGATCGTTCCCGGTGGAGATTAACTGCTTGGGGATTCCCTTAAAGGAAACGACAAGGGATTGGTTATAGGCTATAATGGCTATAGTTTTAGGGTTTATTGCCTCATTCCCTGCTGAGAAGCAGCCACTTGGGTCGTGGACCATCACGGGCATGCCTGGCCTCAGGAGGCACGGCACTCCCTGGCCTACGCACAAGAGCGTCTTTCGCAGCTGCAGCATTTGGTGTCCTTGGCTGAAGTGAAGGAAGTCGGGAAGGGGAAGGACTGGTCAGTCCCACCTTGGGGTGCTGGGTAGGAATCAGTTTGAGCATTTTGCACAGGAAGGCTCATGCGCAAAGATCAAGTCGCTCCCGATCGTTTGAGCCAAGCTCTGGCGACGGGTGAGCTAAGGTGGTGCTAGACTCACATCGAGTTTCCCGCCACACTGTCTGTCAGGGAGTAACCTCCACGAGAGCCAAGCAGGCAGGGACCCGGATGTACGGCGAGATTCCCTGGAGTTGCATCCCGACCGATGAAGGGCAAGGCATCCCCACTGCCATAGAAATCCTATCCTATCAGAACATGGTCAAGTTGTGCAAGGATTTGCATGGGAAAGGGCTTTGCATGCTTGGTAGGTGCCAGGCACAGTGAGACCAGAGCGGGATGGATTGCGACATCCAGCGGAGAAAAGACGCATGCAGCTTTTGGCTACCAGACTTCAAAGGACGGATCATCATGGATAAGGCAAAGCTAGTATTCTTTTTGCTTGTGAAATTGCAAGTAGCATGCACTAGCTTGGAGCAGTGCTTGGGCGATTCTTGGCAGCACGGTCGCGTGGTCTGAAACCTGCAGCTGCTCTTCTGCTTGGACACAACGCATCCAGCCGTGAACCAAACTTTGTTCGCATGATTGCGCTGCATCGCTTTGACTAGAGCACCTAGCTGTCTTTTGCGTTCCTGTCTGCTTAGGTGAGCCTGAAATTAGAGCCCAGCTTCAGGAACTAACAGCTTACACTTGGACACTTCCCCAAATGGACTCATCATCCGCTTCGGCACGACGCATTTTCCATTTAAGGCTTGAAAGGGGCGGCTCGTTTCGAATCCTTCGAATCCACGGAAGGAATGTCCTCTCTTGCGATGAGTGCGCGAGCCGTGCCGGCGTCTTCCTCGCGGGGCCGGTCGCGCCTGCGCAGAGCTCCCCGGGCCCCGAGGCCAAGTTGCCGGTTCGCAAGTCACAGGTACACACCCAAGCGAAGTTGTCAAAACCGTTTTGGGATCCCATTCTGGTTGGTAGGTGAATTCACCACGCATTTTAGAACCTATTTTATGTGGGGATTGGGATGTTCACTGGGGGTACGATTTGGATTTTGACCCATGGCCACATGTGCACACCCAGCCACACAGCGAACCCAAACATATTGGGTTGAAAGGGGCCGGTCTAAGTATGCGAGCAAGCTTCGCTTTGTCGTAAAAAAGCGTTTAGATATCGCTCAATGACCTTGCTGAGAGAATTCAAACGTCAGCTGTAGAGTTCCTTGGAACCATTTCAGAGCCCTCTCACGAAGCCAAGCTGCACAGTATGTCTAGTCACCAGTCACACATCACGAAGCTAGCAGGCGGGACATGGCACAAGGCACGTGACAGGTGGAATAGCAAAGGGCCACTGCCTGGATGCAGAGTCACGCGAAGCATCGTGTTCCAATCCTAGCAATGAGCGCATTCACATGTTTGAGCGGATCATATTTAAGACCAAGCAAATCACACGGTTCAGGCGACTTTTGGAACTACTTTCTGACTGCCAGCTACAATCAGGGCAAAGCAAGCAACGACTCTTGTGTTGGCTTTGTTTGAAGCTTGATTGCCAGGATCCTGTTTGGTCTTTCAGTTCACAGGGATTCACAGTCGACCTTTGGTTGGCAACGTCGGGTCGTGCCAGGCGGTTCCTGGAGCACGTCTGCGCCCCGCTGGCGGCCTGCGAGCTGCGCCGCTTTCTGAGGAGCTGAGAGCCGCGGCATTTGCGTTCGCGCAAATGCCGCTGCCCCCTGCCCCATGGATGGCTGGCCATGGCTGGCCCTGCGAAATCTGCAGTGGACAAGTGGCCTTGTAGCATATTAGCACTCTTTGGCTTGGAAGGCGGTCGTGGCCCCTGAGACCTCGTTCTGGTGCTAAGTCACGAAGCAGAAAAGAGAGTCGGCATGCGGTGGATACTGCTCCCCAAAGTGGCAGAGCTGATATTTCGACCCAACCTCACAAGCAAACTGTTCTCAACGCACCGCCCGCCCGCCCACACATACATACATACATACATGCATGCATGCATGCATGCATGCATGCATGCATGCATGAATGCACATATAGTCACATACACACGCATACACACACGTACACGCATACACACATAGACACATACACATGCCAGAGTGAAGCCTTTGGGCTTGCCGGGGCCCCAGGGCGTTTGTCAATTTGAGGCTTGAAGACAGCAGATTTGCTTGTCCCATCGGGCTGCCCCTATCATTACTACTAAGTTTGGACAAGGGCTGATACGCACTTCCGAAACCCATCCGCTATGTGCTGTCCAAAGAATATAGGTTCAGCATTTGTTCCTTTTCCATTGCATTGCTGCACTGTTCCCCGGTCCCTATTTTCGGTTCTTCCTGCGCTGTGGGTATGAATTACACTTGCGCTGGGAGGAGAATCGTGAAACCTGACGCATCAGCTTGGCATTCACGAATCCGAAGATGAAGTTGAGGGCGGAAAACGCAGCACCTGCCACATTTTTCATTAAGTGTATCATCATGTGCAGTATGTTGTCTTCCTTTGTACTTGTGTAATCTACGTGCAGCATATGTTTGACACTATGCCAAGCATACGTGTAGTAAACCTGAGTGGGTCTACCATATCTCTATTCTGTCCTTAGCATGTACCTAGCATATTCCTAGCTTGGACATTTTAGCTCCAACTTGTGTATGGTAAACATCAAGTTTCTAGTAGTTGCCCTGCACAGCCCTAGTTTTAGCATGTCTAATGCATATTTAGCTACTATGTTTGTGTCTGTCATGATCAGCTTGCTTCTAGCAGATGTGCAGCTCTAGAACGTGTCTAAAAGTCTCAGCATATGTCTACCATCTTTGCAGCACAGTTCCAACACAGTTCCAGTTGGCTTCTTGTATGTATGAAGTAAATGCCTGGCATAGGCGTTGCATCGTCGCATCATTGTGTTTTTAGGACATATCTAGAATATGTCTGGTTTAGCTTCACAATATTTGCAGCTGACCTCCAACACATGAATGCCATATTTCAGACATGAACCACCAAAACTACTGCCCCCATTGAGGGTTCCAAGATCTGGGGGCAGGGGATCTGTATTTCTTGTTTCTTTTTTTTGCTGGAAATTCCGAAATTGTTTTGCATTTTGCAAAACAAACTCGAGTTTTCGAAGAACAACGACACAAGAACAAAAAACGGGATCTATGCACATGCAGTCAATTATCCTTTCTTCATTTTCGGGGGGAAAAAAAACCGAGGCTTCAACACAAGCAAGCAACCTCAACTGGCTCAGGTGAGGCCAACGTTTCTTGTTGTTGTGAAACTTGGTGTTTTCCACCGCCTTATTCAAAAGCAAGTAACAAACTCACACAAACGTTGGTCTTCCAACAAACCAAGAAAGTACAATGCAATCAACCCTAACTGGTTCAGGTCTGAGAAAATGCTGCTTTTGTTGGTTAATCTAAGTTTTCTCACTTTTCCAAAGCCTGCACGAGCAAGCCCCAACAAAGCAAACCGCAGCCCCAACCGGCTAGGATCTAATTTGCTTGACTCTTGTTTTCGAGGGGGGTGCTCCCAAAACGCAGGGGGGGCTCCCAAAACGCAGGTTGCATGGCTCGATTGGCCCGTTCCGCCTCACTCTAGGGGTAGCTTCCCCATTCTTTCCAGGCATCCTTCTTTCTAAAAGACCCAACACCTTCAGAAGCAGCTTTTTGAAAAGAACGATGGTTGAAAAGAATGGACAAGGAATCAAACCCTAGACTCACGCGGGCTAGGAGCTGCGCCCGGGCCCCCCCCAGGGCGCTGCGGCTGAGCCGGCGCCGGGAGGCGACTCTGCGGCGCCTGGCGCAGGAAGGCGCGGCATGGCACGGCGGCGGCGCGGCGCGGCGGTCTCGGGGCTCCGATTTGGCGGTGGTGGTCAAAACCGTTTTGGGATACCGAAAAATCGGTGGATCTCTTGCGGACCTTTAAAGCTGCAGGGGGTCCATTTTGAGTGAGCCCATATGGCTGTTGTCAAAACCGTTTTGGGATCCCAGTTTGGTTGGTAGGTGAATGCACCACCCATTTTAGAGCCGATTTATTTTAGTGGTTGGATTGGGATGGTTTTAACTGGGGGTACGATTTGGATTTTGACCCATGGCCATTTGGCCATGAAGTTTCATGGGGAGGCCTCGGAAACGTGGTTGGTGGACATAAATCCCCACCTAAATGATGTCCACCAAAGGGTCCCTAATCAAGATTCATTCCCATTTCCCCCCGTTTCTAAAGCGGCGAAGCTAATCCCTGCCCTCTAACTGCGGGCCCCGACTGGCGCCGACAGCTCTCCCTGACAGCATATTTTGCTTGTTCTGTGGGAGATGGTGAGGTTTTCGTGCCCGAGAGTCATGTTCATCGCACGCCTGGCGTGGACAAGGAGATTTCACGACTCTTCATTTTGTTTGGCCGGGTGTTTGTGGGAAGGGTACGGGGTTGGCTTCTGCGCTCCTGCCCAGGCTTGCAAGTAACACCGAGCCCCTTTAGTGCGGACGGCGCCTCGGCCGCATTTTTTGACATGGTGGTCGTGAGCGAGGAAATTGGATGGCTGTTGTTGGTCTACTGCCCTGAGAGGTGACAAAAAGTGTCCTTGGGTGGTTTGCGACAAGCGCCGTGGATGGTGTAGAGTCGAGCCAGTCGATTGAAGCCCTGTGCGGGCCTCACAGGTTTCTTCCTGAAGGTAAAGGAGGAGCTCCAGCAGGCTCGAGCTAGTTCATACGAGGGAGCATCAAGGCCACTGAAGCATCACGTGTGACTTGTGTGTCCTATGGTTGCATCGTTTTTGCTGCCGCAAGGGATTTGCATGGGCCGAAGTTTCCGCGCACAGATCTCTGTTCTTTCTGCCGCGGGATTGATTCCGTACACCACGCGGGGCTTGCATTCACAGGACATGGTACAATGGCTTTGAGAGTCTTCTGACCACCTAGTGGCTGTCAAATCTTTTTTATCGTTCTTTTTTTTTTTTTTTAGTTTTTGTGAGCCACACAATGTATCATCTCAGAGGCGACGACCTGCCCCGTGCAGGCGCCAGCGCTGGGGCAGAGTCTCTCGCACTACAGCGGCCAGGTCTATGGCGCCGCGCCTGAAATTCGGGCGTTCAGCGGCTGGCTCGAGGGGCAGAGTCGCAAGATCTAAAGTGGAGGCATTTGCACTGTAAGAGGTCCCTCCACATTGGAAGACGGCAGCTGGAAAGCAAGGGCGAGTGGATACAAAAACACTCTTCAAGTTTGGCGCCATGGGCTCCAGCAGACGTGCATGGAGGCATGTGACTGGAATGCCAGGGGTTCGCAGGCCAGTGTTGCAGGAGACAGAACATTCATTTGATTCCATGTTATGTCAACTTTCAGCTGGGCCTCGTCTCAGTGACTCAGTGACATCACGCTAAGGCGTATGTACCTGAGGTGAAAGTACCCCGGCTAATGCCCAGCAATTTTCAGTAGGGTGTCCACTAATTTTCGGCTGCCCTAAAATAGGATGTCCGCTGAATTTTGTTCATCAGTTTGATTTCGAGCTGAGAGCTGGGCTGAGGCCAAGAGGCCAGCAGCACTCTGCCTGCAGAGGCCCTCCGAGCCTTGGGAGCTCGTGGCCGGCTGTTGGATCTCTGTGCTGCGCCGGGCAGCAAGGCCAGGGCCAAGCGAGCGAGTGGGGGTAGTGGGGGTGGGTTTCTTCTGCGTTTGGGAAAGCTGTTGTGAGGAAGCGTCGGTTTCCTGGATGCCAAACTCGTCAGGTGGCACAGGAACCAAGGGGACGGGCTTGAGGGGGTCACTTTCTCTGGAAAGCTTGTGCTCAGCCACAGGCAAGGGGGGGGTCTTGTGACGTATCGCAAAGGAAAGAGGCTGCCCCACCACACACACACAACAGATGCTGACTGTTTCTGCTTATTTTGCCCCACGAATTTGCGCATTCGGCAGCGGGCTGCGTTTCTGCTCAAATTGCACCACCCAACATTCAACCAGAAGATGCCATCCCCCAGCATGCAGGGGATGGCAAAATCGCCGACCTTCCAGGTTTCGGACCCATCACACAGCCACAGCAGGCGGGGAACAGACCTCTTTGGAGAGTTTCCATTGAGGCCTCACAGCTGGCCTCCCAGCTGGAGCCGGAGCTGTTGGTGGTAGGGCCACCCAGGTGAGCCAGCGGGCCGGCCTCGGTGGACATGTTGATATGTCTGGCTTTCTTTCTTTTTTTTTTTCGCGGAAGCCCCACAAGTGGGGGTTGTTGATTCGGAAGTCTGAGACGAAAACGCTTTGTTGGCCAAGAACTTGGCTGGTCCTAGCTACACCACAGCCAAATTTCGCACGACGCATTCTCATTCTTGCACCATAGTATATGGTTTTTACACGGGTCTGTGATAAAGAATATTCGTGATTCGTGATGATGATCCCATACTCAGACAAGGCACGATGAACACAAAACTTCAGGGAAAGAGAAGGCACCTGGGATGAAATTGGGAGCACGCGCGAGTCCTGGTGCTTGGCTCCTGGCTTCTGTCTTCCACCAGTCTGCTTTCTTCCGGTTGCAAGCCGGTCCTCAACGGGCAATTGGGGCTCAGCCTGGCACTTGGTTGTTCACTGAGGCCAATGAGCCAAGGAAGCACCGCGTGCTGGCCTAAGTGTAGCTGGCAGCTTCATGCTTGCAATTGCCGGTCTTGTGAGAAAGACTTGGACACAGCGCCACGGAGAAGGGACTTACTGTAGGCCCAAGAAAGAATCACAATTTGAAGTTGTCCCAAAACTTCCGTTTCGGTTCTGCACAGCCCTTCAGATTGCCGCTTCGGCATTTTTCGCACATACACGCACAGAGCCCTCGTTATGTAGCGGTTTTTGGTTTGGCTTTTGAGTTCCGAGTATGAATTGGCGTAAACTTTTTGTTTCTGAGGACTGTGCACATCTTGTCCTATGAGAAGTAATATGCACTCCTTAGCACGACCCTGTAGAGAACTCTGCGCAACAAGGTTGCAAGAGATCGAGCATCTTTCATGGCGCGTTGTTCAACTGACTGAGCGAGCTTGACTGTTCACAGTATTTTGGCTGAACATATTCATCATATGCCACTCACCTGTCCAAAGGCGCAAGAGTACACTGAACGCTTAGGTGTCCTTTCACGTCAGTTTCGTTATATTATACATATATATGTAATACATATGTCAACTACCATGTATTTTGCTCGACCGACCCGCGCGATTATCTGGCACACCGGAGCCCTAGGCAGCCCTGCTGCGTGCGAACCTGCTGCGGGCGGGCATTGTGGAGGCCCTTGTTCTGCAGCCCGGCCTCGATTTGGGCGGATGCCAGGCGAATTTGGATGGGGAACAACCCCCCCCAAAAAGAACGCGGCAAAAGTCCCGGTGCAGGGGGAAGCAACTGGAATCTGTTTTGCTTGCCCACTGGAAACTATCCAAATCGGCAATGAGAGGTGGCCAAACGGGTTGACTTGGCGAGGCACTTTCACATATTTAGTGTGTGTTGCCCACATGTCGGTGCGACATGTAGAATGGGCTAGTGCACTTGTTTGCAAAGAGGCACAGGTATGTGATGAGTGCACATCATTTTGCTCGTTTGCGCAGGGAAGGCTACTTGACACCTTTGAGGTGGTATGCCCATCACGTGTGATTCCGTGAAATTTGGTTGCAAGACCTGCGAAGAACATGTTGTACACATGGGCTTCAACTCAACTCACTAAAGTTTGTTCCCGGCCGTCCCGGCCTTGAGGACGCTGGACGGCCGCGAGGTAGGCAGCCTTGCCCCTGGTGCCTTTGATGCTGTGTTGGTAGATGCGCGCGGGATCCCAGTGCGTGCGGTGAAGCATTTGGTGGGATGAGTGGTGAGTGGGGATGTTGTGATGGATATTGCACCTCGGTTCTGGCAGATCCATTGGATCTCAGTCATTTGCTTGAGGCCTTGCTCTGGCGAGGGAAACATCCGGAAGGTCGGGCGTGGTTTTTCACGTTGTGTGGATAGCCGACTTGCGATCTCTTGAACGCGCAGGTGTAGACTGAGATTTGGGTTGAAGGGAGTTTGTTGCAAGCAAATTTCAAACTGAGTCGCAACTAAGCCGTGAGTGAGGTCCCACACACACACACACACATTGGGCAGAGCAAACCAGCTGTAGCATTCTTGAAAGCTTGGACATGTCCCCTCCTGATCCAAGCGCAACAGCCAGCCAGCCAAAGGTCAGGCCACAGCGCCCGCAGAGAGTAGGTAAAACATTTGCTTTGTCTTACAGCACGGTTTGACTGGCTATGCCTCTATCTTTGCATGTGGGTAGATCTATACTCACAGGGCTTCTGGCAATCGGGGCGCTGGCTGCTTCACGCTTGGCTGCTTGACCCACGTGCGCCTTGATCGACCTGCAAACGGCCGCGGGCCGTCACTCGAGTGGCGGGACTGTCGGCTCAGCGCCGCTGCCGGCAAAGCTGTCGTGCCGCCTCGCATCGCTCTGGGTGCTCTGGTGCCTTTACGGCGGCGTTGCGGGTTGTGCGGTGTCGGCACCAGCAACATGGTGCATTTGTTGTGGAGTGCCATGCTGGCTGCTTTCAAGTTTCCGCCATTGCTTTGCAGTACGGTGAAGTGGTGAATGCCGTGATTCCATGCTCGCTTTTGTAAGGGCGTTTTGGCTTGCACACTATGCTGGTCGGCTTCGACCAAACGCAATTGGCCGGTGTGCCAAGTTTCATGCAGCTTGTGCACGTGTTGCGGTGGCGTGCCACGCACAGGTAGGGGTAGGGTGTCGCCAGGCTTTTACACTTTGCCGCGCGCGCGCGCGCGGGTGTGTGTGTGTGTGTGTGCGTGTGTGTGTTGACAGTCAGTGTATACGCCTGCTGCCAGCTGTCAGCAGTCTTGGATTTTGACTGTCCCAGGTGAGCCAGTTGGCAATGTGCTCTAGGGTTGCAGCTGGGTCGCTGCCAGGATCAAGGTGCCTGGGACAGGTGGGCCGGGGTCTCAGCCTTCGGTCAATGAGTTGTTTTGGCCAGGGAGTTTGTTGCTTTGGCTGCCTCGGCCAGCACTTCGCAAGAAGCCAACTAAGGTGAACATGTCACTGATTTACGTGTCTCAGATGAGAAGTTTGAGAAGAAAACATGGCACGTGCTTGATTTTGGTTGCAAGGCAGGGCCAGATCCCAGCCTCTTGTTCTCTTGTTGGTGTTCTGGCAGTCTGAAACCTGGAGGCTCTGAGCTGCCACAGCGCCGTGGTTCAAGCCTGATAAGCGGCGGAAAGTTTCCGGCGCCAACTTCACAAGTCACTTGACTCATGCCATTGACCCTCATCGGACTAGTAGACGAGTAATTTTCGCCAGAGCAGGACTCACAGCAACTAACACGAGGCGAACGGAAAGCATCTCCGTGCTGATGGCATTCTGAGCCTCTTGGCTTGGGATTTGTTGCGAGGTCAACTTAGCGAATGGAGGTCCCTTACTTGGGGTTCCTGAATTCAGACAAATTCAGAGGTGTTTTTTTTTGTTTTTTTTAGTGCAGATGAGATGCTGGGGTCGTGCTATTCCCCGCTTGGTGCCATCGCCGCCTTGGATACACATGTGGCACTTTGTGCCACGCTCAGCTGGGATGTTCCGCGAACATTTGCCGAGGAACCTTCGCGCGCCGCTCCGCAGTCAAGCAGCTGGCAAAGCACAGGGATGGATTCAGACTCTTGGCATTGCATCAAAGGCCTGAAGGTGTGGGCCAGTCTTGCTGATGCCATGCTTTGATTGTCACCCCAGTTGACTGGCCAAACCAGGCGTTTGGAGGCTGATATTTGCGGACATTGATTCCCAGAGCGTCCATGTCTGGATCACGCATTGAGGCAGAACTTGTGTTTGGGGATTTCATGCTGCCGGTTTGAGTGGTTTGCACTCGAGGTCGTGGCAGCAGATGCCATACAAGGCAGTATTCGGCAGCAGCTGGACGATCTCTATGCTGGTGTCCGGCGCCCGAACTGGCTCGCCATGGAATTGGTATGTCTTCATGGAGTCGAGAGGCGCGAGGTCCATGTCTTGGCTTGCTCTCATTTGGCTGGAAACCATTTTATGGTTTCCGGCGCCCATGACGTTGCTTCCTGGTTTCAGGTTGAGCGAATCATTCACCCGGATTGGTGTAGTTTACCAAGCACTTCTTTTCCCAAACGGCCGTTTGAGGCTCAGCAGCGATTCCGGACAGCGAAGGCCTTATTGTCAAAGAGCGCACCTCAGGCCAGGCTGGCAGTGACTGACCAAAACTGGCAACCTCCTGAACGGGAATGTCTTATGTCCAAGTTCTGCCATGCCCGACGGCTTAATGGGCGTTTCAGGTTTGTTCATATTGATTTCCCTGTTGTGGTAGTGTGCTCAATTAGCCTACGGCAGCGTTCATTGCTCGCTTTCACTCATGTTTTTTTGACTTGGACACTATCACGCAAATGCCATGAGAGCAAACATGAGCAAACCTTTCATTTACAAAAATATTCAGTCATGAACGTGCCTAGGAGCTGCTCTTGCCTTCCTCGGACCATCACCTACAAGTGATTCTACTGTTGCTGGTTATGTTTGGGTTTGGTGGCAAGCCTTGTTCGTTTGCGATGTCGGTCACTCAAGCATGCAGTCATGTGTTCGTTCATTCATGCATGCATACCTGCACTTGGCTCTGCCAACATGTGCACAATTATTGCTGTTCTGTCAAGAACTATGTTTTTTGACCCAACGGCTACAATTTTCCCCTGCCGACTGGGTGGGTGAGTGAGTGAGCGAATCTAGGAATCAACGAGTCAGAAATCAACCGAATGAACGGAATGAACGGAATGAACGGAATGAACGGAATGAACGGAATGGATGAAATAAACGGACTGAATGGAATGAAGGAATGAAGGAAGTATGGAAGGAAGGAATGAATGAAGGAATACATGAGGGAATGGGTGATCATGAATGCATGTGTGTATGCATGCTTGGACCTTCGGACCATGAAAAATTAAAGCCGTTTCCTGAAACAGCAATATATTTCGCCGGTTGCTGATAAAACCGCTCTTTCGGAGAACGAACGCTCGCCGTGAGTCCAGCTCGCGATCAGGCAAAAAAACTACGCCGACGCGCTCACTCACTCACTATCACTCACTCACTCACTCACTCACTCACTCACTCACTCACTCACTCACTCACTCACTCACTCACTCACTCACTCACTCACTCACTCACTCACTCACTCACTCACTCACTCACTCACTCACTCACTCACTCACTCACTCACTCACTCACTCACTCACTCACTCACTCACTCACTCACTCACTCACTCACTCACTCACTCACTCACTCACTCACTCACTCACTCACTCACTCACACTCACTCACTCACTCACTCACTCACTCACTCACTCACTCACTCACTCACTCACTCACTCACTCACTCACTCACTCACTCACTCACTTACTCGCTCACTCGCTCACTCGCTCACGCACACGCACTCACGCACTCACGCACTCACGCACTCACGCACTCACGCACGCACGCACGCACGCACGCACGCACGCACGCACTCAAGCACTCACGCATTCACGCACTCACGCACTCACGCCCTCACACCCTCATGCGCACACGAACCACGCACGGGCGCGCTCACACACGCACGCATGCACGCACTAACTCACGCACTCACGCAGTCACGCGCTCACACGCTCGCGCGCTCACGCACTCACGCACTGACGCACTCACGCACTCGTGCACTCATGCACTCACGAACTCACGCACTCAGGCTCCCACACCCTCATTCATTCATTCATTCATTCATTCATTCATTCATTCATTCATTCATTCATTCATTCATTCATTCATTCATTCTTTCTTTCTTTCTTTCTTTCTTTCTTTCTTTCTTTCATTCATTTCAGTCAGTCAGTCAGTCAGTCAGTCAGTCAGTCAGTCAGTCAGTCAGTCAGTCAGTCAGTCAGTCAGTCAGTCAGTCAGTCAGTCAGTCAGTCAGTCAGTCAGTCAGTCAGTCAGTCAGTCAGTCAGTCAGTCAGTCAGTCAGTCAGTCAGTCAGTCAGTCAGTCAGTCAGTCAGTCAGTCAGTCAGTCAGTCAGTCCGTCCGTCCGTCCGTCAGTCAGTCAGTCAGTCAGTCAGTCGGTCAGTCAATTCAGTCAGTCGTCTTTTTTTAGTCATTCGTTCATTGATTGATTGAAGCATTGATTGCTTGATTCATTTATAGTTTGATTGTTTGATTCATTCATGTTTTCTTTACTTATTTATTCCTTCATGCGTTTGTGCGGCCCGGCAGGCCGGCTAAGTCAGGCAGGCAGTTAGTCAGTCAGCCAGTCAGTCATTCAGACAGACAGACAGACAGCCGTCGAACGACAGCCAGGAGGGCGGCGTGGAGAAGGTTGAGGATGACTCTTCGGACTCGGACGAGAGTGTGACCTCACAACCACTCTCTCCCGGTGGCCCTTTTGCTGCATCATGATTTGTTCGCTTAGCTGATTGGTTCAGCAGAGCAGTATTTCCAGATGGGGGTGCCGATGACCGTACTTTCGGTCATCGTTTTGCTTTCTCTAAGAGACAGGAAGAACACATTATACGATTTTTTTTCGTTTGTTCCCGCTAATCCCCCGAGTCAGAGCCCATCAGCTCCTGTTGGAACATGACTGGATCATCCTAAAGATTCTAGGGCCACAGAACTCATACATCTACCAGGGATGAGGAATCGATCAAAACCAATGTGGATGAGCCGGCGCTGCCATGCGAAGGTCATGCCGCTGCGATGTTAAGGCAAAGACGCCTGACAGAAGTCACTCCGAAGCCATTAACCACCAGAATCAGCAGACAACTGATGCGGGGGATGCGGATGCAACCGGTCCCACAAACATCAATGTTGGTTTCACACCATGGTCCAAATTCATATCACAGAAAAAAACAAAAAACAAAAAAACACATGCAATGCCGGGCCTGTTCGCGAGCAAGCTGGCTGATACTTGCCGAAAATTGCTTGTTCTCAGGCCTGGGGACAGCCCCAGACCATGATTTAGGGAATGTAGCGCAAGGCGAAGGCATCCCCCGACGAAAACATAGCCAGGCACACAGGTGCAAATGCTACAACACACTCGAGATTTCCAGGTTTTGCACCCCGTCAACTTTGCACCAGACATAGCCTTCGGCTTCACAAGAAGTTCTGAAGACCTGCGGGCAGGAGAATCCTTGCTATTTGATTGATGGATTTCACAATTTCAACCTCAGTTGACGAGGTTTCCCCCTTTGCGATCTCCCGAAACAGGAAACATAAATGCACGGGGTCCGAAATTGGTGCCCCTTCTTGTTGAGCATCCTTCATGTGATCACTGACAGCTCTGACCCTTCAGCGCGACATTGTTTTTTTTTCTCCCCCCCCTGCTGTTAGGCAGAGCGAGGCGCACAGAGCGCAAAAGACTGAAAGCTGCGTCAAAAAGAGGCTGGCCGACCAAAGTTGTGCGGTTGGGATCTAGGCGTTTTTTTGCGTCTGCGTTTTTGTGAACGCATCCAATACTTGGTTTCATTCTCCAAATCACGAAAACTCTCGTCTTCAAAGGCACTTTGGAAAGGGCGTCAACAAGAGACAGCTGAAGGTCACATCCAAGTATTCGGCTACTGCCCAGCACTCTCAAGCTGCCCCTTGCAACACGGTCTTGCCGTTGTTGCATGTTGCACAGCTCGCAAGCAAGAATTTCGTCTCCCATTCCTTTCTTTTCAGAGTTCCTATATGCAACAAAAGTGATGGGTGCGTCACAGAGAGCGCAGGTCTTCAGACTGAGTATGAGCCTTCCGACGGATATGCTGCATGGGAAGCTCCGGAGTGCTTCAGCCAAATTGGGGGCTGGCGACACGGGCCCGGCGAGAAGCAATCTGTGAATGTTGTCCGTTGTAGAGTCGTGTCTACTCAATGTGTGTGTAGTAGGCTCAACATTGCCATTGTCTTGATGGTTCAATAATGATGTTTTCCAGAGGCC